TGGTAATGTGGTATGCGCATTAACCCCGCCCCACACTTTAACGCTTCTTGACACGACTTCACTCCTGCATTACTGTTTTTCCTATCATACAGATAGCAGCTGTGAAACTTTGATAAAGCCTGTTGCTGTGTTAAGCTGTGGATAATGCAGCAAAGTCCATCTTACTGCTATACATTGAAAGCCAAGCCCACCACTAGTGAACCAACTACTTGAAGGACTCTGATGAGACCCTAGCAGACAGACATGTTTTAGCGATTTATTGCCCAGTTTGAGAAACATTTGACCAAACAATGTTAATTTGGTGGGATTAAGAATGGGGATGTCATTTTCCTACATAGCTAGCTACCTAGCTACATCCATGAAAAATGGCACGGGGGACAACGGTGGTTGAAGCCACTGCTGTGCATGCTGTTTTAAGTGTCCATACAGAAATAACTTTACATGATGAATGGAAAAATGTTAACTGCTCCAAGCAACCACTCCCTTAGCCTCCCTGTCAACTGAAAAAAGAGGACAGATATGTCACTCGCAATGGCTGATTAGTGGTAAAATAAAATAACCCCCCCCCCCAAAACTAAATATCAGTTAACTTCAACACATTCATTTTCTCTTCACAGAGGCAGATATTCTGTTTGAGGTGCGGTAGAATACAGAAAGAAAGGGGATATTTCCTATGGTGAAGAAAATGTCATTCTAACCTACTTAGAGCACCAATAGTCCAGAAGACACCTCAAATAGAGCTGTATAATGTTAATCACAGATAAATAGGCTACATTTACATGTATGTGTACAAATAGTCTGGAACTGGAGACAGAACTAGGTTTAAAAGTGACACTGAGACAGACAGAGTGACGTGAGATTGACCAGAGAGATCGAAGCCAGCCAGAGCTAAATGAACGAAAAAGGGTGAATGAGAGCACAAGCCTTATTGAACAGAGCCACACATGAGCCAGCATCCTGACTCACTGGCCCAGTTGACCTTCTTATGCAACAGGCCAGTGCAGTCCATTCGCCCTCTCTCATCACTTGCTTCCAGGAAGGGCAGAGGAGGGAGGTAGGGGGGCTGAGAACCTTTACAGAATGCAGGGTGAAAGGGAGAGCAATGGCGTGTAGCTGCAGATGTGCAGGGATAGAAAGAGGGAAAGGACAAATGAGGGAGGAAGGGAGATGGTTGGAGTTTTTAGCCGCACACCAGGGCAGCTATGCAGTATCCCTGCATAGTTTCTAAGGGAACCACACATTTGTCGTCAAGTCTCTTTCACACTGACTCTTTTCCTTTCATACACACTCTGCCACTGTGGTTTCTTTTTTGTTTTAAGGCTGCTTCTCTCTGTCAGAGAGAGGGGGGGCTTTTGAAGGGTCGCAGGTCCCAGCTGAATGTAATTCAAAGCCTTGTCATTTAGCTGACAGAGGACAAGTGGATTATTTCAGTGTCCTTGACCCACTACACTCTGTAGGCTGGCATAGAAAAGTGAAGTGTAGATGGAGTGGGTGGATGGGACCCAATGTGGGTGGGCTTGCTGGCACAGAAGGACAAGAAGGGAGCCATTGGCATGCTGTTATATAATCTCTCAGAATCTGCATTTAAAACAAAGATTTTGTCCTTGTTGTTTTGCTCGCTTAAAGACCAGGACCAGAATATAGAGAAACCACCTCTATCCAAAATTAATCAGGAAGCAAAGACATCACATTTCCCTAACAAATACCAGTTACTGAACAACAAAGACATATCTGCTATCAGCTAGTCCGTGGTACCGGGTCACTGTCGGTAGTGGATGACCAATTTCTGCTTTTTACCTGCAGGAATAGGCTTGGGAAAGATTTGGAAGAAACTGGAAGTAATCAGTAGCTCACTGTTCCCTGTATAGTGATGCTGGGTGATAATCCAGACGTAGCACTGCATTAAAAAATGCATGTGGCTGCTTTGGTGGGGGTGTGGTACTACAGGTACTGATTAGAAGAGGAAATGGGATCCAGGATGTCAAGTTTGAGTAATAGATGCATGAGTTTGACAGTTCATCAGACGACAAAAGACTGCATAGCGGTTTATGGTACTATGAGGAATACAGTACTCTGTAATGTTATATACAGTTATATGTATGTGTATTCTCTATCACAGAAATCAGAGTAAACTGTAGAATTCTGCATTTGTGTTTAGAAGTCAAATACTGTACCAGCAATGTACCTTTTCAGTAGCTATAAATAGCTGTAACCATATCGTAGTATATTTGTAGTACAGACCAAAAGTCATGACAACCATCTTGTGGCTGAGTGTTATTCTTCTAGTTTCCAAAGTAGAGCAAAAGATGAAAAAAAAGAACAAAAAAAGCCAACTTCAACTTGTCTAGTGCAGGCCCGGTACAGTCTGCAGAAATACAGCACTGTAAAACACTATTTCATAAGCAAACTGTGTCACTACTCACATGAGTTTAGTTGCAGTGTAAACCCGGCCACATGACTGTAGATGACACAGAGGAGATGACATGGAAGGATCGCATGGAAAGAGTGAAACACTGGGGACAAGAATATAAAGAGAAATAGAACAGATAGTATGTGGAGGCATTAGTAAGAGCTGCACCAGCTGTGAGACAGCAGTAATGGCGGTTAACAAGTAGGATATGAGCTGCAGAGGCATGGCTGGTGTTTGCAGTAACCTCTATCAGCCTTTAGTGTGTTTCAGCCTTTGTGAGTGTGCATGACTGTGCTTATATTTGTGTGAATCGGAGGAGGGTGATGTGGTGGAAGACTGAGGGGGTATGCTGTGTACCGACAGCTGGCTTCTATAAATAAATGTCGCAGGCAGGGGGGAGACGCGGGGGTGAAGAGATAAAGAACGAGGGAGTTGGGAAGAGTGACAAATAAAGGGGGAAGGAGGGGGAGAGAACGGTGGGAATTGAGGGAGGAGAAGGAGGATGGGAGTGCTGATAGAGAGGGACTGATACAGATGTACTGAGAGACTTCAAAGAATGTGGTGCGTGCCCTGCACTATGGTCATGCCACCTTTGTCTCAACCAATCAGTAGCCCTGGGTGGGATCATGGATTATGGCCACAAATTATATTGCTGTTACATTTTATCTCACATCAGTGTTGCCACATCAGCTTCCTTCCCTGTCTTGTTTTTACTCTCTTATTTGTGACGCAGGAACTCCATTAAATCCAGGAAACTGCACAAAAAAGAGACAGAAACAAAGACAAGGGCAGAGGGAAAGAGAAAAAGAATGAAAAAAGACAAGAGACAGACATGAAAAGCATCAGAAAGAATAGAAATAGTTTTATGAATCCCTTTGAATGTGACTTTAAGACCACATGGTTTACATTTAGCCATAGCAACGCTCCCTCCATTAATTTGTCATGTAATTGGTCACTGAGCCTTGGTAACAACGGACTGAGACGTACTGTATCACTGACACTGGAAACTTTCACTTTCCTGCCTCCTGTTACACCATTTCATTGCCTTTCAAAGTGGCCTGTGTGTGTGTGTTGCTTTTGTTTATGAGGCAGTGAGCTGGGTTTGGTTTCCTATCTTGTCATAGCTATGAAACTATGACACCTGCCTGTCTTGCTGCTTAAAGCTACGGCAGGCAGTTTATTACAGAAGCAATTTTTGTTGAACTTTACATCCTGTCATCCTGACAGCAATCAATAACCCCCCTTTAATTTCTTTAAATTGAATAATTATGATTCCAATTTGTTTTTGCTGTCAGAACAGAGATAGAGGCTGAATGAGTGAAAAGTAGAGGCAAAATTGGGAGTGACAGGGCAGTAAGATTAGGGAGGTGAAGGAGGAAGATGAGATGGCCCCACTAGCAAGTAGGTGGGGTCATGTTATCACGCTACATCAGGACGTCAAAAGGCTTCTCTCCGACTTCCTCTATCTCTGCTTGTATAGCAAACCATAATCAGACATATGAAAGACACATTTCTGTGGGCAGACATTGGTCACATGCTGTTAATGTACAGTAGCTTACTGATGATGGTGGGTGTATACTCTTACAGAGAGGGAGGGAGCACGTGTTACTTGAGTTCAATACTTCTTTGTAGTCTGTGTATCTGTAATCTAGCATCTTAACAGTATCCTGACACTGTCAGTAGTACTGGCAAAAGGCCAACAGTGGGTAATCTTACACTTGATACCAATATCTCAATATAAACCACTATATAAATGACTAAACAATCATCTGAAGTTTATTGCTAAATAAAGTGTAGACGATTTTGTCAGTCTCCAAACTATAGACATGATTTATCTTCTTAAAAATTTACTATTATTGGTTTAAAGTTTGTAATTTTGTATCAGTATAAAGTTTTTTCTGATGGTCTGCTTTTTGTTTGTTTGTTTTTTAAAAACATGCTCAGTGAGGAAACAAATACTTCTTATACTAGGTCAGATACAGAGGGGGAAAAGAAAAAGGAAAAAAAGGAGGAAACTATTCCTGCTGTACCTCTGCACATACACTTCACTTATCTTTCAACCCAAAATATGAACAAACAGCATGTCAGCTTTTCAAATGCTGCCTTGTTAGCTGTTTTTTTCACTTTGCATTGTGTCTTGAATGTTCAGCTCTACTACTGTTTATTTTAAAGATAATCTCGAACACTATCCTTTTTGATGTCTTCATTCTAACTTACATTTAGGCCAATCTGTTTTCTGCAGCCAGTGTTTGTTAGTTCAGAAAAATGTGCCTAGAATTGTTGCAACAGTTACAATCCCTCTAAAACAAAACCATCTGTGGTCCAACCAGCCAAAATCCTGAGATTTCTCTTTAAATGTCCCTGTTCATTCTTCCTGTCACAATTGTATTAAAAGGATTGTTTGCTTCACCACACATATTGAATTGAGAGCCTTCTGTAAAAGAACACCATCTAAATTAATCAGTTAACGGTCTCCCAGCAGTTCACCCAGTTGCATGCCTAAAGAAGCAGCTAAAGTCTGAGTGTGGCTTCCTCACACTTCCTCTGCTCTGTCTGACTCTGGTTCCTCTCTCTTGCTCTGTCCCTGCAGCCTCTAGCACAGTGGTGCAGGCTGCTGCCCAAAGATGCTGCCAAGATGCCGGAGAGTGCGTGGAAGCTGGTCTTCTACACCATGTCGTGGTCATACACCACCTACTTGCTCTTCTTCAGCTCCTACTCCTTTTTCCATGACCCGCCCTCTGTCTTTTACAGTAAGATAAGACACCCGTGTGAACAGATAATGTGATGTCACTTATTTATATTTAGCAGTTCATGCACCAGTCGTCTTTAAGTTTTGTTAATTGAATGACTCTGCTGAAAAGACAATTTAACAGTTTAAATAATCTTTTAATACCGGTATGTTAAATTGAAATTTAATTTACAACTCTTAATTCCTTGAAGTATTAGCCTGTATTAGAGAAATGCTGACCTCAGAAAAAACATGTTTAATATGTAACTGAACCAGTTTCTTATCTAACCTCTCAGGGTAGATTAGGAGATGAAATGATTTTAATCTAATGAACCAACAGGCAGCACGGCCTAATCCTTAGAGACTCTGAGAGGGTAAAATGCTACTTTGAGTATTCAAATAGAGAGATATTTATGGCAGTGCATACAGGATATGCAGTCTGCTGATTTATGCTGAGCCTTGAATTAATCACTCTTTCCTGTTATTCAGTAATCAGTGATGCTGTTATTGATAGAAAAACCCAGAAACCTTTATTCACTAAGTTCATTATTACCATTGGCCCAGCATTAAAAATAGAAAGTTCAAGTTATACTCTTTGTATGGTCATCCACAGGACAGAAATTATGTAGCAGCAATCCAAATGAGAGCAAAGTGTTGTAATAGAACACAAAGTTTTGCATCAACATTTAAAAGAGATGATCTGCATAATTGAACTTAATTGAGAATAGAGATGGCTATCACTGCTAATGGGGGATAGATGCGCAATGGGGATTCCATTTATAATCCAGATACGTCTGTTATACTCTATTTGCCTCTTCATCAGACATGGAGGTGTCAGGGCTCCGGTCCAACTCTATCACACTGAGTGGAGCTACCAAAGGCTGGTTGACAGCGCCAGGTTCATCTTTAATAGCTGCATCACCTCTAATAGCTGTCAGCCTGAGATGTGTACAGAGGCAGTGTAATGTGGCTTGACGGTTAGGGAGAGAGAGAGAGATGGTAAGAATTTGGAAACTTCAAATTAACAGCAGCAGAAGAGAGGAGGGGCCAAGTTTCTTTATTCTGAAGAAAAAATAAAATAAAAATAAAAGATTAAGACTCCAGAAGACAAAAAAAAGTCTCCCGTTCCCATGCCTCCCCTTGGCAGCTCTTCTGTTGTGATCCCTCGAGCAGCCTTGGAGCCCCTCAATGTTTAATGACGGAAGGTCCAATCAATAAACATTACACAAGGCCTGAATGTAACCCCATGCCACTAGAGACGAACCTTACTCAAACATCGGAGGAGAAAGTTTCCGTCCAACATCTGATACGGTTCAGAGACATAGCTCAGTAGCCTTAACGTACATTTGGCATGTTTAGCCTGTGGTACTTTAGAAACCCTTATTAAATTCTCTTGAGATTAAACCTGATCCCTTCAGCCTCCTCCTCATACTAACTACCCCAGCTGACTCTTCACATCTGGTATCCCCCTCCACCCCCCGTAAGTCACTGTATATAGCTCAGTATCTGGAGATATGATGTATTATGTATTTGTGTCCAAATGGGTGCATGTGTGTATATAACAATGATTCTGCTGTATATACAACATATTCATCATCTACACAGTCCTCTATTACTTCTCTGTGGGTTGGACCTTTATAGTGTCTGTAGTTTATAGATTATAGTGTCTTTAAATTAAGGATAATTAATTTTAAATGTAATAAATTATTTATTAGGTGTATGGTTTATTTAACAGGGACAATTAGTGGACAGTCATTTACTGTCCCAGAGTTACCTAGATAGCAAAATTTCATGAGCAGTCCCTGGGCGGGCAAATCCACAAAAGAATAATGAAATGTTATAATTCAGACAGGGGTCCATATAATAAACATTACATCATACAAAACTAAAAGCACTAACAAAAATGATATTGAGTATATATATATTTAGTACTTTGTGGTTAATGGTCACATGATCAACTAGTCTTAAATCCAAAAATCCTTTTGCAAATCTACTTAATCGTTAATTGACTAGTCATTAAAACACAGAATAATGAAATAAAATAATTGCCACATTAAATCATTGTATTATTTTGCATTTAAAAATAAAAGCTGTGTGTTAAACGTGTGTTAAAAATAGGCCATTTAGTGATTGAATCCAAAATCAGAGTTGAGTTGTCTTAACATGTGCCTCCTTCACTTGAGCTTGCACTGAAGCCTGAAGTAAATAGTTGCCTGTTTCCAGTTCTGTGATAGTTGATAATCACCTCCTTCATTTTGTTGTTTGAACAAGAGTCTGAGACACCCTACTACAGACAACAGGAACACAGATAACAAGAAGAAATATAATACAAAAAGGGAAAGGGAGTGCATACTTCAAATGCTGCTCTACTCTGTGAATGCACTGTAATAATAGTTTTTAATCAATTATGTATCACAATGCATATATTGATAGCATATTATGGTGAATGGCTGATGGCTGCAATCATTTTTGAAGGACTATGTATGTGGATGTGTATTGAGTATAGGTCAGAGTTGCTCTAAAACCAATGAGTTATGGCTCTTTAAATGTTGCTGTTGTGCCATCTATAGACAGAATGTCATCAAATGTATGGCTACAACATAAAGTAAGATGGTATAGCAGGCTCATCCACATTTCATATACCAACTTTGGCAAATCCTGTACAAACTTATAAGACACTTCATGGAAAAAACAAAGAGCTTTACTAATGGACACATAGTAGCGTTGTGATATGCACCAAAAAGGTAGCAGCTTTCTTGACCAGTGGGTAAACTTTTCATCAACTTTTAATTGAAATCTATTCTGTTTGATGTTTCCTGCTAACAAACGACAAATAAATACGAATGTAAACATAACCTCTTTGGTGATGGTAATTAAAACAAAAAGACTGCATGTATTTCTGAAGGTAAAAGGTGCAAATCAAATGTTGTCATTTATCTCTTTAATTCATCATCATCTTGACTAAAATTGAATTAAGTTGGTGAGTTGATTTTAAAGTAAAAGCTGACATCCTTTGTGTGCTCTCAGTGTGTGTCAGGCTGTAACGTCTGCTCACCTTTCCTTCTCCAGACTGGAAGAGCGGTATGTCAGTGCCTGTAGACATCGCCATAGCCTACCTGATCCAGGGCAGCTTCTACGGCCACTCCATCTATGCTACAGTCTACATGGATGCGTGGAGGAAGGACTCAGCTGTCATGGTGGTGCACCACATCATCACGCTGGCACTCATTAGCTTTTCCTATGCCTTCAGGTATTTATGTCTGGTCTGATGTTGTGCCTGTAAAGTCTAAAAATATCTACTTGTGAATCATCTAGATTTTTGATGAGCATAAAACTGTTCATCACACAAAGGAATTATTTTTATAATTCAGCAGGTGTTCTGTCTGATAGTGACAATTTTATTTCAAACCACATCAAGAAATACAGACATGTGTTATGAACTACACTCTGGTAATTGTAGTCCATTAACACGTTTTCAGCTCCAGACAATAGTCACCTACAAAAAATCCAAAACAACAATTTACTTGGTTTATTTTGTTGTTAATGTTTCGGTGTGAACCACTCAAACATAAGCATTTGAACAACAATGTAATAAACAGTGTGGCGTTCATCTCTCTGCCTGCATATAAAATGATTATACAGAAAATGGATGGGAATGCTGCAGAAGGTTTCCATTTTGAAATAAATTCATAGTAAATTATATAACAAAAACATGCATTCAAAACAAACTGCATCAAGATTTATACTTGACTGACAATATCCTACTTACAACTTCAATTTTGCTAAACGGGTTTAAGAAAGGTTGCTGGTTTGATCCTTAACAGGGCTGTAATATACTCATACTGTACTCTACGTTCCCTGCCCCTCAGATACCACAACGTAGGAATTCTGGTGTTGTTTCTCCACGACATCAATGACATCCAGCTGGAGTTCACCAAGCTCAACATCTACCTGAAGGCCAGAGGAGATGGCTATCACCTGCTCAACGATGTGCTGTCCAACATGGGCTCTGTCAGCTTCAGCATCACTTGGTCAGGCTCAACAAAAACACACACACACACACACACTAGTACTCATTTTCCGTTTCTCCCCCTCTCTTTGTCACGGTTGAATGTTTTGTAGTCTTGATGACAGCTTCATTCACTTATCCACTGATAGAGATACTAAAGATGAATAGACATGAGTAACATTTCTATTTCTGCTGTCTATTATGTTTCTGTCTCCATCTCTCTCAGGTTCTGGTTCCGCCTCTACTGGTTCCCTCTCAAAGTGCTGTATGCCACATGTGTGTCCAGCCTCCAGTCTGTCCCAGACATCCCCTTCTACTTCTTCTTCAACGCTCTTCTCCTGGTGCTGTTGCTCATGAACATCTACTGGTTCTTGGTGAGGAAACCCAGAAAGACTGTATGTATGTTTGTCTTAAAAACTGCCACAACAATGACACAATCTCTTTCCTGTCTCCCGACGCCTCTGGTCTGTGTAGTTCATAGTGGTTTTCGTGGTGAAGGTGCTAAAGATGAAGGAGGTAAATGACGTCAGGGAGTACGATGACGAGGACGGCAGAAAGGAGGATGCGGGCCTGCTCAGAGACCCTCAGGCAGAAAACAACGATGATGATGCTGGACATCACATCTCCCAGGGGTGAGCAGCACCAACATATCCTACAACTGACACAGACTTTAACTCAGGGTGGAAAAACACCACCAGCCAGCTGCTGGCAGCTTTTCACTGTAAATGTTGAGTTTGTTTTTATTAGCGGCAGCTTCGGCAGGAAAACCAAACCAACCGTTTAAGGTGCTATGTAGAATTTCCACATCAAGAAATAATTTTTTTAAAAGACATGTCATTACGAAGACATGAACTACAGTAAAGAGTAGGCCAGTTGCAGTGACACAATTTTCTGATGCTAATGGCTGACCTAATACTACGAGACAGAGAACTGGGTTTTATCAAAATAAATATTTCATAATAGTTTAAAGTTGATTTAAAATGTTTGAGAGAATGTTAACACACACGCACACACACACTAGGACTAATTTTCTGTTTCTCCCCCTCTGTTTGTTCTCTGTCACAATGTTTTGTAGTCTTGAAAGCTTCATTCACAGCCAGATAACAGTTTGAGTATTCTGCAGCCATGCTAGCAGCTCTCAGACAGTGTTGTTTGGCGCAGCAGCGTTTTGAGCTAAATGCTATCACAATGACAATGCCAACATGCTGATGTTTCGCAGGTGTAATGTTGACTGTGTTGATCATAATAGTTTAGTGTGTTTACATGCTAACATTTGCTAAGTAGCACTGAACAAAAAGTACAACTGAGGCTGATGGGAATAATGTTAGCAACTAGCTTGGCAATTAAATATGTCTCAGTATAAAAATAAATAAACTTGCCAGCAGAGGGGCTGTATATTTAAAAATGTCAAACGCAGGGCTTGCAAAAATGAATTCCACTGACATGAGTTTGATACCTCTCAATCATGGTCTCATTAGCTAACAGTATTAACGCTTCTTAAATGTACAATCATACATTCATGTTGGAAAATGGTACACAAAGCACATTTCTCGTTTAATTAATCATTGTTTGAATGTTTTTTGTATCTTAAGTCAGTTTTGGCTGGTAAAATAGTAAATTTGACCAGTTTTGTGGACAAACAAGTCAGTGTCCTTCCCTTCTCCAAGCAGATATTATAGTAATTTTTATATTTTAAAGGGGACCTATTATGCTGCATTTCCAGCCCTATATTGTAGTTCTGTGACTCCTGTATGGTGGCTTTGCATGATTCCAAGTTCACAAAAGTATTTTCTATCTTATACTGGCTCTTCATGTTGGCCCTCATTTCAGCATCTGTCTGAAACAAGTTGTTTATGCTTCTGTTTCTTTGAGCATAATAGGGACCTATTATGCTTTTTCACATTTTCTAGCAACTTTTATATCGAGATTTACAAATAGTTTGTTTTAATCCATAGAGCTTTTATATACTTCCAACAAAGCCATTGTTTTGCATAATAGTGGCCTCTTCTAAGATTTTACAACTCCACCAGGTTAAGAATATCTTTTTGCACTTTCCCCTCTACTGAAGGCAGATGTACAGAAGAGCAGATCTCCCACTGAGCTTGTGTAACTAGCTGCCCTCACAGGTAGATAGGATCAAAGAGCCTGAGACCATATGGAGATGTGATTATGTGGCACTCCTTATCTGCCCGGCCTTGAACCCTGCTGATATCCTCTCTGCCTGCTAATGCCTTACATCATATGCTGATCGCCTCACCTGGAAAGCTCATTCTCATCCTCTCCTTCTCAGTTCCGTCCTGTCCGATACTGCTTCGCTTTCAGTTACCATTACCCTCTGCTGTCTCTCTTTTGTAGGAAGCAAGTGCAGAACGGGGTCACCAAGGACAAGCATCTCTAACAAGCTCTCCGTCGCCACCACCTGGCTCTAGGCTACAAGTACAAGCAAGACAAGAAGCCCTCCTTGGACGGCTCACGCTTAAATATGTGGCTGAAAAGAAGAGTGTCACAATAAGAAAGGAAGGAAAATAGCTAAGTTAGGCCGCAATGAGTTTTGACTCTTTCTATTTGTTTTAGAACATTTAATTTCATCAATGTAATTTTGTTTTCAGTATTATTTTGTTAGAGCGCTGTGAATGTTATTCCGGGTGACTTTTTGTCCTATTGTTGCTAACTTTACATTTGATAGATTCAGTAGAAACAAGCCAGTTTGAGTAAGAGTTGGACTGTGATGGTCACATATGGCAGTACAGGGTGTCACCTACCCAGACAAGGAAGAGGTTTAGACCTGTAGTGGTTCTGTGAATTCTTTATGGATAAGCTGTGTTTGCAGTCATGTTTGCTAATGGATTCCTTTCCTCCCTTTAACCTCTGTCCATCCTGTCTGACTCCAGACATGAAGAGAAAAAGGTTAAAAAACCTGATTTAAATGGGAAACCTTGCGTTGCTCTCATGGTTGCAGTGATGCAGGACAGAGCCTGACTGGCACTGTCAGGTGGTGTTTGACCACACGTATTGATTTCAATATCAGTGGTGGGAATCGCACAGCTCTGGCCCCCTGCATCCATTAGTTTAAATTAAAAAGCCACACTGGTGCTTCAGGATGTGGCGAGTATGGATGTAGCTCTCACCCTCAAAATCCTTAGTTTCACAACATTTCACCTCTCACTTTGATTTCTTTTGACATTGTCTCTTGTATTGACGATCAACATTAGAAATTCATTTGGCATTCTTGTTTAGAAAAAGCTTTTGTTTTTTGTTTATTTTTCCTGTTTTACAAAGCATCTGTTGCTGCACTGACATGAAGGCATACAAGCTGATTGCTGGTTTAATGACAGCAAATAGCTAGAATTTGTTGACTGTGTTTCACTATCATCCTCATGATTTAATTTGTTCAAACAGTATGGATTTTAATAACACTCATGACTATTTTATAAGTTTGTGGGCGGTGACCATCATGTTCACAGAAAAATTGGAACCCGGAACTTGTGTAAAGATGAAAATCAGTATGCATCATGTATACGCACCTTATGGTATTCAGGAATGAATGACATCGAATTATTTTGGAAATGCTATGTAATCATGTCTATTAATGCCTAAAACTCATCCCTAGTGATCTTTTTTTGAAGCAGCAGCGACCACTGAACACACATAATGTTGACTGACATACAAATACAAACCAGTGTGTGATAAACCTTAAATGATGAATCTCAGACACATTAAAACATGTGAAGGAACCAGATTAATGTCTATTTTTTCCTAGAAATTCCACATTTTTAAGATTTGGATGTCATCTGCAATGGCGAACACGGGGGAAGGGACCTGTTTCTCCCGAGCGGTTTCTCTGGATCCTGCTGGTTTACTGTGTGTGTTAGTGGAAACAGCTGCTGCACCTGTAGAGAATGAGGGATGTTCCTGTTCTTCCTACCGTCTCGATCAAATTCAAGCTCTTTGTTTCGATGAACAGCATGGTTGTGCTGCTGGAGCAGGACGCAGATATCGTCTGTCCGTAATAGAAGCATCCGTTCAGTTGTAGTTCAACAGTTTGTCTTCCACCATCCCCTCTTTAGCACTTTGGGGGAAGTTCAAACTAACCTTTAATTTTACATGAATTATCACTATTATTTCTGTAGTTCAGGTTATTATTGTTGATTTGATTTTTTAAATTGCTGCTGGGTTTTTTTTCCTCTGAAAGCACTGTTGGTATTCCAGATGTGTTGTTTTTTTCTGCTGTGTATGTGGCGGTGATAGTCTCAGATCAGGTGTTTCCATGGACCAGTGAGAGTCATTCTGTTCGTCTACGTCAGGATTTAGATCTCCCTTTTAATCTGAATGCTGGCTCACACTCATTTTACTGTAGTCATTATACAGAAAGTAACAAGGCTTATCCAACATGTCAGTGTGTATAATGTATCAGATGTTCAGAGTCCAGTGGTTTTACTGGCATGGTGTTCTGGCAGGAAGTGGCCTCTGAGGTCCTCCCTGCTCAACTGTGAGACTTGACTATCTATAGTTTGCTGATATTTTTGTTATAGGATGACATACGACAGGGGAGTGAAGTTTGCAGTACACCCACAGAGATCTGTGAGATGGTTTAGGTGTGACTCATCCCTCAAGTCTAGTTTGGTACTGTGTGAAAAAAGGTGCACCTTCAATCTCTCCCATTGTGTCCGGTGATGTGTGAACGGGTAACTACTATAGGGGTGGGCGATATGACTATATAAATCTGCTGTACTGTTTACACCCTGTATTCGGCCATTGTGGGTATTGTTGTAAATCAGTGGAGCTGTTTAATGGCAATTTTGGACTATATAATTTTTGTATCCAAAGTACTGTTGTCTTGTGAGGTATTTACTTTCATGGATTACCCAAAAACAGCTGCAGCAACTATCAGGTGTGTACTAGATAATTGAATTTTTTCAGAAAATGTACACCATGCTTCCCAGTACAATGATATGAAACAACTTATATCGTGAAGGAGGATTATATCCATGTCACCCACCCCTAACCATAATGCAGAAGGGATGAAACTATCCGAAGATAAAAACATTTTGAGATTATGAGTTTTCTTTCTGTACAGATTTGGCTTTTTCTTAATTTGCACGTACGATACAACATTGGCCTACAGTTCAGGTCATCTTTGGTTTAAGCTGTTGGAAGCATGTTGCATGTGAAGCTCAGTTCAGTCAGACAACTCCCCTGCAACAGAAGTTTGTGAATGTACAGACTTTGTATTTGATGTCTGTTTGGTGGCAACCTCATCACTCCCCATTTGCATACACAAAACCCACCAGTGAGACATGATAAAATGACAAATTCACCAGTAAAGCAGAATTAGCCTCGTCACTTCATGTTTGCATACGCTTAAGATCAGCACAGAGAAGATTAGGGAGTGACGAGAAAGTGATGAAGCAGCGTTTGCAAGCTAACCTGTAAAGCAGCAGCTCTGACGAGGCTACTTTCCATATACAAGATCAACACAGAAATTTAGGAAGAGATGATAAAAAGAAAATCGCAAAGGCTGCAGTGGATGTGTGTTGCAGTGAGTAGAGTATGACACAGTATATGTGGTGTCTAAGCTCCAACCTCGTCACTCTCCATTTAAAATTAATTTTATTTATATAGCCTAATATGACAAATTTGCCTCATGGGGCTTTAAAATCTCTACACCATGCAACACTCTCTGTCCTATGTAAGTATTACAAGTACTGTGAGTCGTCTGCCTGAACTGGCTCGCGGGCTTTGCTCCATCATGACAGAAAGTATCTCCATGAATGGTTTGACTGTGCCAAAATGTCCACCTAAATTATGCGTTTGTACGAGCTGAGGAGAGCTAGTAGAAAATGACGGGGAGAAAAAACGCTGCAGGTATTTCTTATAAATTGCACTGTAATTTATTATTATTTGTACTGTAGATCAAAATGAGAAAAAGGGAAGGGAGAATTTGAGAATTTTTATAACTTTTTGGGAAGAACCAGTAACTAAAACTCTTATTAACTGAAAGTGTATTTTAGTGATTTATGGGTTTTTTGTTTTTTTTTGGACAAATACATGCTGGAAGCGATAAATATTGCCCCCCTTTTTTTCAAACTCAATCTGACCACTTTCTAAATCTGAGCACTTGATAAAGACACGTACTTGCTCTTTTGTAATGCAATTTTAATACCATTCAGCCAATGTTATCGTTTCATTTTTTTCCCATAAAATAAAACATGTCAGTAAAGAAGAGACGTGTTCATTGTGATTTCTTTTAATTTCGTGTTGTTTTTTTTCCTCTCAACTGGCATCATTTTCATTGCAAAGATCAAGTGTGGATGAGGTGAAACAGAGTTCAGACCAGAGGAGAGTTCATCATTTCAGTGCACAAATGAAACTGCTTCAATAAATTAAAAATTCATATGTACCACACAGTATTTCCCTCGTGTTGGTAAATTTTTAAAAAATCCTGTTGTTACCGGGTGCGAGGTCACATGATGCAGTTACACATGGAAAATACAAAATGGCAAACACACACACAATTCACCCACAACAAAGGCAAGACCAAGGCAGAGCACAGGTCAAGGAAACAATGCAGTATTCGTTCACACCAATATCTTACCAATTAATATTCTAGGTGTGTTTAAGATATTTTCCCCATTTAAAACAACACCCTTTGTGTTATTGCCCATTTTAAGACAACTAGTGTATAAATACTGCAGTGCTGGCTTGACAAAAATCTTGACAGCTTTAAAAATTAAGTCAAATCATGTTATTGCTACAGTCGGCAAAAGGTCAAATTCAGCACTACTGATAAAAAAGCAGTAAAGGGGGAGTTTTATCTCATCATGATGGGTTGCCTCTTTACGCACATGCTCTGATTAGGTAAAAAATTAAACCTGTAGGTTGCATGTGACCTTTAACGTGAGGTTTCAGATGATGTGCGTGTCTTTTTAATAATTTCAGGGTTTAAAAATAACACAGACCAGGTCACACAGCAACAGGAAACAAACCTCAGCTACAGAAAAAGGTGACACAAAAAGCAAGAAGGAAACTTTCAAGTAGAAATTTGTTTTAAACTTCTATAACTATATGTATTAAATGGGCAGATTAATGCATACAATAATTTTTTGGCAATGATTTACTTCCGTTCGACTTTCTTTTAATAAATTCACTACCAAGGCAACAGAATCAGGATAATCTAAACACTACTTCACATTTTATTTAGACAACTCGTCTTATCCGTAAACGATATTTGTGTTCGGAGTCATTTTCACTGAGCATTAAAAAGAGAAGATTTCTCTGTCTGTCTTGTCACAATATTCCCATATGTACACTGAAAGTTACTGGCCACTGATCATTCCTCCTATCCATACTGGCTCTGAGGATCTCCCTTTCTAGCACCACCACATTTCAACAGAAAAAACATTTTCCCAGGTTTTTGCTTATAAGTGACTAATTGGGACAACATTTTTTTTAACTGGTCCAGTATTGAGTAAGATCGCTGCAGTTGGCAGCAGCTTAACAGGGCTGCAATGTAATCCTTGCGGGCAATTGTGCCCCGTCAAAATACATCCACTGAAGTGCACTGTTTTTGCCACCGACAAGCTCAGGTTGTTTCCACAAGTGTCTGACAACATTATGGAAAGGATCCCTATAGGGACAGACCTTCTTTAGAGTGTTTAGAGAGTCTTGTTTAAGCATAAACAGTCGCTATATCTCACTGTTCAAAGGCACCAGACTCCCTTGACAAAAACAAATTCTACCGCGCAGAACAGTGTTATTGTCTGACTTTCGTGTTTGTTGTTTGTGTTAAAGACAAAGACACACAATAACACAAAGAAGCAGCTGTGGACCCACAGAGGTAAAATTACAGTTTTTGTCAAGAGAATTTGGTGGCTTCCAATAGAGCCATAAAGCGGCTGTTTTCAGTAAAAAAAAAAAAAAAGGGTCTTACTCTTTAAAAAAAAAAAAGGTCTCTCTCTGTAGGGATCCTTTTATAACAATCTAAGCCTGTCAGTGGCAAAAACAAGCACTTTAGTGGACGTACTTTGATGTTGACTGCAGTGTGCTCGCCCCAAAACTGCACCAATTCTAAAAACTGTCCTCATTCGTAGGCTAAAACATGGGAAAATATGGTCCAGGTGGAAAAATATTAATGTTTAGTCTTTTTAGTATGAAATTTCCTCTATTTGCTTTCAAGGACAGTGTTTCCTTGATGAGCTCTGTGTGTGGAGTTTCCTACCAAGACTTTACTCAGAGGTGGGGGGTCCCTTCACAGTCAGTATGGAGAGAAAGAATAGTCACCAATAAATCAACGTTTTTTATGGGAATGTGAGTGTTGTATTAAGACAGACTGAAAAAATGTGAACTTATCCTTTAACAAAGGTTGGTGAACACATCTCTTGACAAAAGAAATAGCTGGATTAAACTCTGTGTGGTCAGTTTCTCCCTGTAGCTGCCTGAGACAACACGTGACGTCTGTTTGGCAGAATGATCACTCATACAGTAGACCGAGCGGAGGAACGAAGAGCGATCAGCGGTACAACAACATCACAAACTCTCACTTAATCTCATCTAGATGTCAGAGGCATGGTGGACAAATGCTTTACATCCCTCAGAAGAGTCAAATAATGAAATACTTCCAACGCAAGGGATTATCACAAATGAATGACAAGACATCTGTGTTGATAAAGACAGGGAGAGTGAAAAATGATTCCTGATTGTTCTGGTCCATGAGACCAAATTGATTAAGCTGGCAGCAGGACAAGATCTGACATCATAGTTTGTGGATCAGGATGAAGGAAACGGAAGTGATTCTGGTGGTTTAAAAACCATCATGAAAACAGCAGCTCGGCCCAGCTTCTGTGTTCTTTCCGGCTAAAGTTTCTTGATTTGAGGAAAAAGATGGGATCTGAGAAAAAAAACAAAACAAACAAAAAAACAGCATTGTGCACCTTAATGGGTCTTTGTCTTGGGTTGGGTGATTCTGCGGACAACGCTGTACAGGACTCCGAAGTTCTGTAAAAGGACCACACGACAAGAGACGGTGTTCATTTCATATTTCCAGACCCACAAAACATCTGCACGCACACAGCCCGTGGAATACTGAAGAAATGTCCTTGCTGAAGTTAATAATAATGCAATAAATGTCCACATGACATTAGGTCTCATTTCATTTCTATTTGTAAAATTGTAAACATGGGTAAGAGCCGCTTTAAACATATAAAACTGACAACACATTTATTTATTAATGCGGTGCATGTCTGAAAGGGACTACAGACTACTGCATGAACTAAGTGGCTTACCTGGATAGCCAGATACATCATCCCTAAGTAGGCTGCAATGCAGACGGCCAGCAACAAGTCAAAAATAGCAGGTTTCACTCTGAGAGGTAGAAAGAGAATCAGAGGGTTAAATAGAGGGATTATTAAAAGAAAAACACAGTCAAACACTGACATTATGTGATGGCTTTTTTAATGTTTAGATTTCGTCCCTTACTAGTATAGACTAATAAGTCATAAATAAAACTGAGGATTTATTGTAAGCAAATGAGTTGGCCTCACGACTCCACAGCCGAGAGCTTTGACAAAGCCACAATAAATCAGTATGAACTGCACTAAAGCATCTCAGAGGAAGAAGAGGAGCTCATTTTAGCGTACCTGTAAGCATTCATAGTCTGCTTCAGCTGGTCGTAGAATACAAACTCTGGATCCCTGACAAGAAAGTAAAAAAAAATTAAATTAAAAAAAAAAAGATATTACTTTGACATCACGACAAAAAAAAAGGAAAAGAAAAAAGAAATCAGATAGTGAGAGAGAGAAAGGCCATTTACTCATCTAAATTCTGTCGTCACTGGTTTAATTCATGACAGAAAACAAATCTGATCTTTTAACTTTTCTTATAATGTTAGTGGTTCAACCTCCTGCATATCAAGCACATAAAATAAACTCAAGGCACAGAATACACGATATTCTGATTTTATAAAGACCATGTTACATCAGATGGAAAGATGGCTAAATGACACACTGCATTTAAAATACAGTTTTAGCATAATTTTCTCAGGTAAGTTGCTCCACAGACTCCGGTGACTGACAGACGTTTGTGCAGCCCTTTAATGTTTCTGATCTGTATCGCCAACAGCTCATGATGTAATAATTTATTATAAGCATTATTAGTAATGAATGAATAATAACGTAAAAACAGGACATGTACAGTAATAATTCAGGGCTTATTCGCCTATAGTATACTGTGGTATCACTGTCACCCATGTTTTATGGACTGACAGGGTAAATGGAATACTACTTGCCCTCTTTTTTAACAGATTTTAACCTATTAATCAGGGAAATACCCGCGCTGACAAGTAGGCTATACCTTATAAAATGATTTTCATAAACATAGCAGCTTATACAGATCAATTATAAGATCACTGAACGCATTTCGCGGTCAGACGATGGATTTATTAGTGGTTTAGCTTTGGAAATAATGCTCAGATCACATCTCTGCTATCATAAAATCCTGTGTTTGGTTTGTTTGCTTTCACACCACAAGCAAACCACACCAGAGTTCGATTGAAAGTGGACCAAACAAGCGTACCGAGACCCGGTACGCTTGTTTGGTCCGCTTTTGGTGCGCACCCAAGTGCGAATGCTGCATTGACACCTGCCCAAACAAACTGCACCAAGGGGGAAAAGGAACTCTAGTGCGATTCAACCGAACTAAATGAGGCAGGTGTGAAAGCACCCTAATATGACTAATTTCACCAAGTCAGGTATTTACCAGCTGTACTAACTCTTTTATCTGTATACTAATTCTTGTTCTAACAAACTGTTTTATGTCCACCTCCACCCATTCCTTTACCTTTTGTCAGCTTTGACATAGTGTCTCTTGACATCCTTAAGGTAGTGTCCGAGGTGATACTCCAGAGTGGACACCACGCTGCTGTCTTTGTCCACCAGCTGAGCGGCTCGGGGCTGTGCTGTGAGCCAGTCCACCACCGCTGATAGCTGCTCCTCCTGAACCTGCTGACGTGGCAAGAGAACACACTGCATTACAACAGAGGCGTGTGGTGCAGGCATGAGCACACAGTCTGGAGTAACATGGAAGCTTTGCTGTTAGATTTCACAACAAATGTACTAAATGTGCAATTTTACTTAAGTGTACTTTAGACATCTGTTCCCACTGTTCGCTCATAAGAATGACATTAGGGTTGAGCTGCTGGCAGTTATCGGTCATAAATATTGTACTGTGTGAGTCAGTGTCAGTTTCAGTTAAATGCAACCAGACCTGAGATGATTTCGTTTGCGTCACTGAAACAAACAGAGTTTCGACAGTTTCGACGACACAGAGGGGACTAATTTAGAAATAGACGATGGGAGACAATCATTATTAATATTTCAGTAAGAGAAGATTTGAACAATGTCAAAAAAGTTTCAACTGTTTGTAGCCATCCCTGGGACAGAGACTTAACTCTGCAGCTGTAGTTCACATGATTACCAAGTACCTTCAACTGCAAATGATTTAACCTACATCACTGAGGTGGTCTTACTGGGGTATCAGACTCAAGGCAGCAGATTTCAGTGACCTACCATCTGTTCAGTGAAGATCTGCAGGTCTCCAGGAGCCCCCTGTGCAGCAGAGTACATGAACAGAAATGTCACATCACAGGCATAAAGCAGACACAGTATCTAGTCTCGATGCATTTTCTCCATCTGTGAGTTTACCTTTTCAGTGAGGTTGTAGATGACCCTGGCCAGTGCCTCTGCCACCACCTTGGTGTTCCTGTTGAGTTTCTTCACATCTACATGAGGCCTGTAAGACACGAACAAAAGTGTGCAGACAGTTAGAGACGGTGGAAAACTCTGAAACATCAGAAGGGAAACCAGCAAGGGGAACAAGGGAGAGAGGAGAAACCGTTCACAGAGCATCCATTTCTACTCAGGTGGGCTGAAATGCAGAAAGACTGAGCAAATAATAAATCAAGTGATAGAGTGAAACAGTGACACAGAACAGATGAATGGTTTACTAACAAACGAAAGCGAAATTCGAGATTCAGGAATGGAGAGTGGAAAAGAGGACAAAAAGGCTTCAAAACTTCACACACTCATTCCACGTCTGACAAAAGTACATAAATACAGTCATGAATGATGGGAGCTATGCACTGGTAACAACACTCCTGTTTTTCCATAAAAGGTTTACAAAGGGATTTAACGTGATGTGACAGAGCACAGTGGGTCAGAAGAGGTGGAGAGGGACAGTTCCATGGCAACACAGATGACATGAATAAAAGGACTGGCAGCTAGGATGGAAACTCTTTTCTTTCGTTGATTCAGAGACTTGCAGTAATTAACCCACCCAGCAGGGGGCTCTCCCGCTCCGTGGCGAGAGGAGGGGGACACTGACCGCACGTCCATGATGCTGGAGCGCTGCGCCAAGCGGTGGGAGGGCAAATGGGACAACGTGAAGGCTGGCAGCCGGCGGATCCCGAAGCGCTCATGCTCCCAGGCCAGCATGTCGTCTGCCAGGTTGATTTTCTTGTGGACCATGGAGAACTTGACCTCTGGGTACTGACTAGCAACCACCTGAGAGGAAATGAGAGACAGTAATATAACTCTGAATTATAGGCTATAATCTAACAAATTCTCTGGGTTTAACAGTTAAAGTAGAGTGAAATTGATTCAAGCTGCTTATATCAATAAAAGCTTTAAAAAAAATGGATATAGGCTCCAGGACAACTGTAAAACCGGGTTTGACACTTTTTTTTAAATCAACTAATTGTTACAACTCTGTTTCCGTTGGTATTCGTTAAGCACGTGTTCCTTTTTGCAACCGACACATGAAGTGGCTTAAGAAAGACTGCAACATTAATGGGTGATACCGCTGCGTTTGCACAGTTTGCATTTCTACATAGGTTATGAGATTATTAATATAGATCTATTCATCTACTGCCAAATAAGAGCATGTTCTGACATGTTTTTGTCCGTCCAAGCTTGAAAGATTCAGTAACTGAAGTGACTCAATGGCCTTTGGGTTCTTACCAGCTCCAGCTCCTTGAGCAGAGAAAACTGAGGGGTTCCCTCTTTAGGAGGTTTGGACACATGGAGGTGCAAAGAGTCTCCGTTCCCCAGAGTGTCCAGACACAATACAAAGGCTACGTTGTCCTGTAGCAAACTGGAGTCTATGGAGAAAGGGAGGGAAAGGTATGCACGTCAAGGAGAAAGTAATAATTAATTATAAAATATGGAAAAAAGGCTCATGACATTTTATAAAACACAGATATGGCCAAAAATTGTAAGCAGAGAAAAAACTAGGACTAGTTCCATTAAACTATTTATTTATTTTTTACCTCAGCCTGGTTTGAGAATAAATTGGTCTTAGAATGTACATAATTTTAAATTAAAATGAATACTTCCACTCCCTTCTGTATGCTTTGTGTAAGACTACTGAACAGTACCTGTATGGTCCAGATTGTCCTCCAGCCAACGTTTGGTACCCTGGTAGTTAAACTTCCCCCCACCAGACACAAAAAACAGCAGGTTGTACCTGAAAACACAACAACATGATTCACAAATGAGTCAAATATACAACGAATATAGCCCGGAGGAACCTGATGAAGGTCAATGTGTGCAACAAGAATGCACAGACTAGAGTGGTAATAAGTGAATGTTAGTGTCTGTGGGAAACATATCACAAGGCATTTCTTCAAATGACAGGCAAATCAAGGGAGCAATGCAGATTTGAACCTACAAAAATGACTTTGTCTTAGAGAATTTACAGTAAAGTCCATTACTCCTCTTCTAACCACTCTGTAAGACAAGAGTCCTTCCGCTCGGCTACTGTTAAGCACATTTAGACATAAGAACGAGCCTTTAGCGTATTATTGACCGCTTTAAGTGTTTAACACAGTCCAATGTGATTCTTAATGCCAGAACATAGTGCACAGATAATGTTCAGTCCAGTTCTCACAAAGCATTTGGAGCAGGACACTAACCACAACAAACGTCACAGACATAACAAATAGACTTTATCTTGTGTTCAAATGAACCACTCAGGTCAGTAATCAATACTACTTCATCACATATACAATGCATACCATGAGTGTGCAGCATAGAACTTCACTGAAGTGTTGACTTAAGTATGTAAATATATTATAGAAATTTGTGATTTTTATGCAGCTTTAAAAATTTATATTAACTGTTTAACAGCTATTTGAGGCACAAAATTACCCAAAAGCAGTCTAAATGTGAGTGGTGGCATCTTTACTCACCCAGCGTGTGTCCTCTTGTAGGTGTAAAGTTTCGAGAAGAGACGAGCCAGCTCTAGTAACATGGACACTCCACTGCCGTTTGAGTCTGCTCCGTACGACAGCCACTGGAAACAACAACACAGTCAGATTCCTTTCCTGGCCTGCTCTTGTTTCACTCACAGTTGTGTGGCATTACTGTCCTGAACTACTACTGTATAAAGTTTGAGTTTTTGGACACCATGTCTGACTAATCAACTTGGGGACAAAATAAGCTGTCAAATACTACAGATATTTGCCCGCAAAATATTTCCGGGGCTTATTTGTAGGAGACAAAGACGCAGTGAACATACTGGTGCAACACCAAAGGAGTCATAGTGAGCAACCACGACAATGGTGGGCAGGTCCTCTCCTCCGACACCAGCTAGACGACCCTGGTGAATAAAAACAGAGCCATAAGACAAGTTAAATAAAACATAAGGCAGAAACAGAATGGCTAAAGCATTAGATTCAGCTAAAGCGATGGCACTGTGTGTATTTTACTTCATGCTGGCAGAGCTGCAGTCACAGTCGACCTCCTGACCACAGATCTGAGGAAAAACCTTGTCTGTCTCCTAATCCACTGCAGTGTGACTAAACCACTTTTTCTTTCTGGCTTGGACACAAAGCTCAGATTAGAAAGTCCAGAACTAACATTTCACTTCTGTTTTGTTCTGCTCCCTTCCTGACTCAAATTGTTTGATCTAAAATTATCCTCAAACAACGATCAAAGCTGTCCAAATCCCTTCACGAACTCTTATGGGAAAACAAGGGGACAGAAAACACTGTGTCAACCAATTCCTGTAAAGTCTGAATGAATGAACAGTTGATTCACATGCTCTCACACTGAGCATTAAAAATCTCCTTGTTGAGGGTTGAAGACTCATATTTATAATTCATATTTGACCTTGAGAGAAACACTGAAAGGAAAACTTAGCACCGAGCAATTTTAAGTCCCGTCAGGCCACCAGCCTAGATAGTGTGTGTAACTCCGTCTAGGTTTCAAATTCCAGGCTTTAAGTCCACACAAACATTTTTTGTTCTGGGATTTATGCTTACCCACGAGTGCAGGAAACGCCCATTGCGCACTAAACCAGCAGGCAGAACACACAACACCCCCCTAGACTAACAACACACGACTGACTGCAATAGCTTCAAGCTTCTCTTCTTCCACCTCACGAGTGGTTCCTTGATTTTTTGGAGACAGGGCTCATATGTAAAACCCCTTCTTTAAAAACAAAGCTCAGTCAAACTGCAATGTAAATAACCTCTTGTAAATTAGTAGTATACTACTGGGCAAAAAGCCACAAAAAAAAGCCTCAAAAGGTCTAGTTATCAATGCCCCAACTACCATGATTTACCTGGGCAACCTGTAGAAACCAAGCCCCAGTTTGTGTTAATGCAGTACCATCAGTTTCAAGTATCAATTTCTTAGAGCAAACACTATCCACACAGATCAACATTCATTGATATCACCCATCAAAAACATACCTGTTGTTTAATAAAATAGGAAATGTAATTTAATACTAAGGAGTAGCATTTCAGATATTTCAGTCACATTCAGTTCAGTTTTTTGTTCATCTGAGCTTCATGCCGGTTGACTGTGGGATGAAACTGGATCAAGCACTCAGAGGAAAACTACGTCAACTACAACTCGCACAGAAAGGAGACAGAGGTAAATCCAGGGCACACTTGTGAGTTGAGTTCTAACCACTGAGCCACCGTTCTGCCTGATGTTACTATAACATTATCCTGCAACCCTCTGTCTGGTGCTTATGAGGGTATTTCTGTGTACAGACAAACTGCTAGTATCAGAAAACTCAGTTTGGAATCCTTCACTTGCAATAACACCTTGTAAAGCCTTTCTAATCATACTTGTGACTGAATTTGTTTTGTTACATGATTGTGCCACTTTATCAAGGTCTGTGTGTTTCAAGTAGTTGATTCAGTTGCAGCTGTCTTCAGATTACAGTTCGGCCTCTCACCTCTAAACTGGTGATGGCCCAGTCACTGACAGCTTTGCTCTGTGCTCCACTGGTGACCATCTGGAAGCCGTTGGCAGTGGCCGTATGCAGCAGCACTACAGAAAACATCAGAAAACCTAAAATTAGAACTTGGGGACCTGTATATTTTCAGGTAATTCAGGGAAATCATCCCCCACATGCCATCTTCCCTCTCTGTAGAAGACCATGCTTTTTAATCATAAAAATGTGTTAAATTTCTGTGTTTAAAACAAGCAGGTAGACAAACGGCAAGTCCAGACTAGAGGAGAGGGGATGACTTTCTACCTTCAGCTGCTGATAAGGCACCCTGTGAGGAGGAGGAGGTCAAGGTTTGGGTGTAGATGGACAGCAGCTCATCGTCCTCCATGGCAAAGTAGACGGGGACGATGGTCTCAGTAGCCAACATCTCCGGCTCCAGTTCCATGAACTGCTGCACAGGATAAACAGAGGGGAATATGCATTTGTTACCATGAGATGCTGCTGGATTACAAGTGAAATCTGATTTAATTCCTTCATCCCTGCAGGTTCAGTAGTGCTCATGTTTAAAGAGGAATGTAAGGGATGGGAGATGGGAGAAACAGAGTTACAACTTAAGAGAGCTTTTCTGTAACACTGACAAAAATCTGTCTCTACAATAACTCACCAAAAATGGAAATTAGTTATGTAACCAAATGAGTAATTTATCTAATGTCAACTACTTCTGCTTTCCAGAAAGATGAATAATCCACTCATAAAGCATGAAGTATAATTAGTCATAACTTGCACACTGTGCTTCAGGAGATAACAGTCAATCTCTGTAAAGGGTTACAAAAGGAGGACATTGTACACTAAAACATTTAGGATAATACTGATCAGAGGGACGGCACAGTCAAATAAACTGTGGGTGGGAACAATCCTTGCCTCTGTTGTTGAGCACTGTTGAGGTGCTCTTCAGCAAAGCATGCAACACAAGCAGATTCAACCCCAAACAGATAAGCTTGTGGTTGTCTGTGTGATTGTGGTGAAGGGCACAGCTCAGTAACCTCAAAATAACGTAGCAGAATTAAGGGATGCTCCTCGTGACTGACAACTAGAATGTGGACAGCCATATTTTTCTTTGCTGTGTTGTATACCTGTAGATCACAACCACTTCAATGTTGCATCACCACCTTGTACTGTTCATTATCCTCTTTAGCATGTGGGTAGTGCACACTCCTCCTCCAAAATCTCTTTTGGAGGAGGAGAAGAAAGCAAAGTTTTGCACTGTGACACTACTGCATTTCCCCTGAACACACAATCAGTGTGTAAACAGTTGAAGAGGACGAAATGGGACACAGCACAAGACACTGATGTGTGACATTAAAAGTGTGTTATTACCTGCACTATGTCCTGGGGCACAGCAGACATATTCTTCGGCAAGATTATGACCACAGCCCCAGCTGACTGGCGCAGGGCTTTCTGGTACTCTTCATAGGAGAAGTCTGCCAGCCGCATGATGACACAGCGGCGACTTAGTACCTCCGCCTCCACAGTACGGGCCTCTGTGTTCAGGATGGCATTCCTGGTACCTGAGGGTAAATAGACACGCTGACCATCAAATATGATATATATGACACCTGTCTGCAATGTCAACAGGAAAGGACAAGATTTACGGATCCAGCTATTAGAGCACTAGAGCTGGTAAACAGAGACTAAATTGGATCAAATGCCCATTTATTGACAAACTGACGCTGAGGCTGAAACCACACTCAAGTACTTGACAAACCCCTCAAGAAAGGTTTGGTTGATATATTAGTCAAGTCTGGTGGATATTTCATCAAATTTGGCAGAAAAATAGCTATTACTACTTCTGAAAATTGCTACCAGTGTTGTATCCACATTAGAATTTCAACCCCTTGTTTCACTGTGTAGATTGTGGGGATTATAGATTAGAAAGCTCAATTCTCACATATGTCACTCACAGGGTTATACACTATTTAAAAGCCCACAAATCAATCTACCAATTGATCATTTTATTTTATGTAAAAACTGTTACGCAGACTGGTGAACTAAGTATGTGTTAATTATCTTTCCCGTTCAAGTTAGATGTCTTTTTTGCAATGTTGCTACTCTAATGATGTATTTATATATATTAGATGTATTAATACTGGTAATACTGAAATGGGCAATGAATTAAGGGGATGCACACTTAATAATGACACTAAGATTTAATTTTAAGGAGTAATGATCCTGATTTGCTTCTAGGAAATGAGCTAGCTTGACACTGCCCACTATCACGCTAAGCTACGTTAGCAGCTAGCTCCCCTGCATGCTGTCATTGACATGTTACTTAAGCTAGCAGGAGACGACAACAAGGCTAACTTCAGTTAGCTGCTGGAGACCAATGTATTTGCTGGTCAGGTATATGCAGTAGAGCTTATATGTTTTCCTGTATGATAAAACAGAGACCCAGCTGACTTACCGTACGGCTGCCCCTGCAGGTCGTACTGCTGCATGCGATACACCGTGAATTCATGTGCCGCCTCGGCCGGGAGCGGTGACACCAGGATCAGCACCGCGGGGATAAACACAATGAAGGTGAGTGGGAATGAAGATTTAAACATGTTGTCAAACATTTCACTAGCCTCCTCGAACATCGTGGCGATTGTTTTCGGCACACAGCTACGGATAAAACACAAATTATAGCTGTCAACTCTCAGCAAGACGGGTACCCAGTTTAGCTAGCTAGCCAACCGCTAACCACAACCGGAGCAACTGATAATCATTCTGATCAGGCGAACAGCTGGACGACCACTTACTCGGGACTGGGACGACAACAAAATGCAACATTATTACCAATTTATGAAAATACATTAATACGGCATACTGTGTATCGAAAGGTGCGTGTTTAATTAGAATATTAATCGGATAATTACATATTTCAAACTGAGCGGTCCTTCAGGGATTTTGTAGGACAGCTATACTTGAAGTGTTGTGTTTTATTTAACGACACTAGGTGGCGCTGAACACCACAGAAACTTTTCATTATTTAATTTTATTATTATTGAAGAATAAACAACATGGGTTTGAGTTTTCACATACGACAACAAGGATCAAGTGCATATCAAAAGTAAAAAAAAAGAGCTAAATCAAACTAGAAAGAGAAAAGGAAATTAAATGAATTCATTTTAAAAAAGAAGGAAAAGGCTAGGGCCTTTTATGCAAATTATATTCTGCTATTATCCTAAAAAGTTTTATTACATTTTTCATTTTCATGACATTATGGGCTTTTGTAAAAGAAAGAAAGTCATTGTAAAATACACAGAACTTAGGTTTCACTTTCAAATAATTTGATTTGTGAATTTAAAATTTCCCAATAATAACAATGTCATTACTATAGGTGACGTCCTTCAGAGAAAAGCTCTCGAGATGAACCACAGAAACTAACTATGGTAGAGGCCCTAAATAGTGTAAACAGTGTCTGGGTTGTAACTGATATTTACAATATGGGTTAAACATGTTCAATTCAAAAAATTTCAAAAAAGGTCTTCATCTTATAATATTAACGTTGCAAAACGTCCATTGAAACAACACTGATGGTGAAGTCTGTTGTTCAATGTTATTTTTATTTTATTGATCATTTGTGATCAATTTCTTGGGTTCTGCTGTCCTGTTCTGTGTCCTTCTGTTGCCCAGCACATTACATTGGAGGTGAGGACTACATTATACCTTGGGGAACTATTTCTACACCTGTAAGTGTCCTCAATGGTAGTTTCAGCCATGAGCACAGAAAGATGATATTATCCAAGCTGTCTTTTTTGAACTAGTCAGAGTTTTGACTTGAAAATGGTGGGAAAGACACAGTAGAATACAAAATATATTTTCCAATTTTTGATCTGTGTTTTTTGGCAGAGACCATGTACAAATAGTATTCATCTCAAACAAGAGAAAATATCCTTTGTACCATATTAAGTATTTTAAATTCCTTTCCATCTCTATCTCTGTGTTAATTGTTCTGCTATCTCTTGGGATGTCTTAGTTAAGTATTTCTATATAAAAATCCCTTCCTTTAAGTTTCCCGACTGTAGTAGTCAAATATTTCTGATGATTCATCTTGCACTTGGAGGGGGGAATATAGATAAATTCATCCATCCATCGTTATCTTGTGTACAGGGTCACAGGGGGGCGTGTTTATGATTAACAGGTGAAGAGATTTGATCTTTTTTGAACAGATTTTGGCCTGATTGTGGTGCTAGAGGAAAGTCATGGGATTATTTGTTTTGACCAAAGTTTTATATAATTAAAAAAAGACAATACGAATTAAAAGCTTGAGTCCAGTTGGGAAGAGCTGAAAATCATGTTCTCTCTCTCCTCTCCTTCCTGCCTCTCGCTCCCGGGGCTGCTCTGCTAAGTGGCAGATTAATGCTGATATGATGTCCTGCCATCCCACTTAATGGACCTTGGCGTCATTATTTCCTGTTGTATGAGTAATCCACAAAACCAATATGGACGTTGAAACTCATTGCAATGATTCCACATTATTGAGAAATTATCATTTGGAGATGCGCTGACAAGACCGCCGTCTGGTCGAAGGGGAAACACGCTGCTAAACATAAAGACACAAGGAGGGAAGAACAACGGCCTAAAGGGGAAAAACCATCCTCTTGTGTGGATCTTGCGTGAGTGGCACAGCAGCAGCTGTGTCACATGAATCTAATTCCTCCAAATTCATAACGTCCCATTATCACAGGATCATCCGATGCAGTGGCTCAGTAAAAATATACAAGGTCACATTTTTCACATTTTTTTTTTTTACAAACATGACTGTTGCATGCTACAGTGAACACTCAAAGGCACACACACACACACACACACACACACACACACACACACACAATGCATGAGCTGTTCAGTGTCCTCATTTCTTGCCAGTGCTCCTGGGAATGTCCTGAATCAGACCAGCCTTTGCTCTCCCACAGAAAAACACTTTCTCTGTGTCACCACACAAAAGGTGCAGTCAGTGTGTGTGTGTGTGTGTGTGTGTGTGTTTGGGTAAGTACCGTGGATTAACTAGAGATTAGCTACCTAACAGTAAGTAAGCAATTTCTGTGTAACCTCCCCCTCAGTTTATTGCCCCTTCCCATTCTCAGAGGATGCTGTCATTTTCTCACCACACTGAAAGGTTGCTCAAACACTAGCCACACTGAAGTGTTTAAACCGCTCAGCGACAAGGTCAGAATTACAGAATACCAAAGCTATACTGTAAGAGGGAGTGATTTCTGGCATTGGGAGCTGTGCTGAAGTCTCCACACAGACACCCACGATCACACAATGGTTGTCTTTCTAACCGAGACCTATATGGAGCAGGTTTTATGAGTCATTCACTTCTTAAAACACCACCCGCTATAATCCCCTTGTTAATGACCAGAAGCCTGAAAAACAACAAGGTCCTGCTTGATGGATAGCTTTGCAAATGAGTGAGGTGCTCCATGATATGAGACCGTTGTCAGACGATACATTATTTGAGTTAAGATTAAAATGAAAAAAGATAACCTTCACACTAAATGTATGTAATTTTGGAATACATATTTCATTACAGGTAAAACGCCTGCATTCATTAAAAGTGTGTATGTGTTGTCAGAAAAATGTACTTAAAGAATTCAAAATAAATGTACTCAGTATGGACAGAACGGTCTCTGTCATTTTTATTTTTTAATGTATTATATCATTGGATTATTACTACTGATGTAGTAGCTGTATTTTAATTTTATAGCTGGTCAGAGTGGAGCTAATTAAAAGTTACAGTGCAGTGTAAGACATTAATCAAAGGCCTCGAATTTGATTAAATTAAATGCAGAAGCAAACAGAAGAGAGTTTCAGCAGACCTGCAGTTTTCCAGGAGTTTGTTGCAGATAATACAGTGCATAGAAACTCTGGCGAGGGAGTTTTGACTCTGGGGACTGAGCGGTCTGGATGGTCCATAATGCAGCAGAAGATCAGAAATGTGTTTTGGTCCCTAAACTATTCAGTGTTTTGTGAAGCAACAGCAGTATTTTAACATCACTTCTTTGGACTTAGTGAGGACTGAAGTTGCTGCTGCGGAGCAGTGAGAACAATATTTCATTATTAAATGTAGTGAAGTAAAAAGTAAAATGGAAATACTCAAGTAAAATTCAAACATCTTCAAAATCAAACTACTGCGAGTAAATGTACTAAAGTATATATAATGATAAATATTCGACATCTGGCCAACACACTGACGAGGGCAGAACCTGTAACGTCTTTGTGTTTAAGTGGATGGTTGAAAAATGAAACATAGGACAAATGCTTTCTTAAATCGCACTGAAACTGGAAGATTCAGTCTGAGAGTTTGAGCTGGTTGTTCTCTCAACATGACCGGGTACTGTTGGATCTGGACTGTGTGCTGAGATGATGGCTGCTTCTCAATACAAAATGTGACCAACATTTTCCTCTCCCCTCCTGCTGACTTACAGTGATTTGTGGCCACAGGTCTGGTGGAGGCAATATTGCCCTGGCTTCTTTACGTACCCGGCAATTGATTTACCAATCATTTTCATTAAGGCCACTGGAAATAAAACAAAGAAAAGGGGAGATCATAGTGTGTGACAGCTGAGCTGCAGCCACTGAGGCCGTAAGCCTATTTGGTTGCGCAGGGCAACAGTCAGATAATGGATGACGAGGCCTCTTGGAGCCAGCCGTTCCATTAGGTTTTGTTAATGCGGTCAAAGGAGGTTGGTGTGGCTCATCCGCCTTCATATCCACTTTCAGAGACGCTCACTCATGCTGGCCAGTGGATTCACTCTATCTCTCTCTCTCTTTTGCTCTCTCCGTTGTCTTGCTTTCTACTGTTAACTTCCTCTTGTGTCTTACAGTATATCCTTGTGTTTCTTGTTCATTTTCTACTCTCTTCTCTCTGGCTTTCTTGCTTTATCTTGCTGTCTTTAGTCCTCTCCCTTTTCTCCGTGATCCTTGGTAGGGTTTGAGTGGATCCATTTTGTGCTGCTGCTTTAGATTAGCTGGTGGTTTTCTTACAGTATCATCACAGTCCTTGCACAAGAGTAAATGGGTACATATTGTCTCTGAATTACACCGCAGAGGGATCTGCGGTTGATTCACACTTTTGCAATACAGAATTCTTGGAAGTCTATTTTTAAACGCGTGTCCTTTTCTTATTCTATAGAAGCTTGTCACTGCAGCATGTGTGGCAAACTGGGAACTCTTGAGCTTTTGAAAGAGGTGCGTGTGACATGACCGTGTGAACTGTACATTTAGTAGGGGGAACAGAGAGAGTTTTTGAATGAAGACGTGTGTGTGTGTGTGTCAATCACTTTCTACATAATGCTGGAAATGCAAGCATCATGTCGGGAGAGGATCTTGTCTAATACCTTCCTGGCTGTCTTTGTGGCCCCATACTTCCAGGGGTCCCAGGTTCACTGCATGTCAATATGTCTTTGGTAATTTCATTAAATGCTGTTTTGTTTGCACCACTAAAGTACAATATAAATGGAAGGGAGTCCTGCAGTGTCAGCTAATTTTAAAGGTAGTGTACAGTGGTGTTTTTAGAGCTTTTTCATTGAAAACAGCTGCCTGCTGGAATCAGTGTTTCCTCAGTAGGGGGAACTGTAGAGTTTGGGGATAACTTTCTGTGGGCACATCACTACGAGTAACATCATTAACATTAAATACAATAATTTGATTAATTGGCAGGTGCAGCTTTAAGTCTATATAAGCCAGGTATTACATGAGCATGCAAAGGCACCAAATAA